AAGCACTGGATAGATTGACATTAATATTGATACATTAGCAGTCTTAACATGACTAATGTTAGTGAAGCATGCTAAACTATGAGACAATGTTTATCTTGGTGTTACATGCTTAACTTCAAATATTCATGTTGCATGCCAGAATGTTAAATGACATACATAACATGCTAAACATCACATAATAATAATAATAAATTATATTTATATAGTGCTTTTCTGGAACTCAAAAACGCTTTACAGTATGAGGGAGAGTAGACAAACAAGGACAGGCAAAAACAACAAAAATAAATAAATAAAAATAGTTGTTGACACAGTTGGTAATATGTGCACAATACAACAAGTACCCTGTACTTTAATGAAATAGTACCTCCACATGGAGCATTCAGATCAAAGTCGAGGTGACCTTAAAGGGCTTAAAGTGTGCTGCTTCAGAATTGCTTGGCGGATTGTCAAATAGTTTTGGAAACCCTCTATTCACATCAGAGGTTGCGCTAGACTTTTTCGCTGCCCGTCATTTTGACGGACAGGATCGTAAAACTTCCGTCAAAATCCAGAATTACCCGTCGGCCTTTACACAACTCTGACGGGGGGGGGGGAGAGGCATGCTCGTGAACTGTCAACGGGGGGAGGGACAGTTCACATGCGCCGTGTTATGCATGGCTGCTGCACCTCGCGGGAGCGTGCACAGCGTAAAGCCAAAACTCACAGACATTTCAATGATTTGTACGGCACAGTTAGGTTTGGAAACGGTATCATTTCCTTTTTGGAGGGCATGCATAACACGGCATAACACCGGAGCCTCGCTGCGGGGAAACTTTGGCGCTGTTCCGAGTTTGTTCTAATCTGTCAAAATGACGGACTGCTTTCAGATTTTTCCGTCATTGTTAAAAAAAATCCGTCATAGACGGAAAATATTCGGTTAACGCGACCTCTGATTCACATACCTTTGATTAAAAGCTTTAACTCCAACTTGTGTTCCTGGTGGTGTGTAATGAGCATTGGGCTCCTCGTGGGGCTATTGACTTTAATCTTGTTTAATTGTTGTGCTTATAAACACAAACACTCACTCTCCCTTGTTTTGATTATTCACATTGGAGCACTGTTTCAGATTGAGAGGCTGTATTGAGCGTAGACTGAGTGGAGGTTGTTCCCCACACAGCTGCTACAGCATCATAATAACAATCGTGGTGCAACTGTTGTTTATACATTCTTCATATCAGAAAGGATTCTTGGCCGGTGTTGCTAGATAAACTTCACTTGTCAGGATAAACAGAAGGTCATTCCTCGCTATGTACACCGGATAAGAGGGATGCTGTTCACTTTGTAGAATTACATCTCCAACATAATTGAATTATACATGCAAGCATTATCATAATGTTAGACATATGTAGCAAGAAGTGCAAAGGGGTTTCCATGTACTCTCTCCCCCCTTTAGAGACAGACTCATTGACTTCTTTGCTTCTTTCTGCTCTCTACCTACCTTCCACAAAGACAACAGTAGCTTTTAGAGGAATTGCTATTGTTCACCTCTCAGCCCATCTCATCTGTTGCCAATATTTGTCTTGAGTATGTTATGCGAGTCTCTGGTTACAGCATATTATAATTCTTTGCTCACAATGTCTGTCTCTCTGTTCTGTTTCCCGTCTTCCTTTATCTTTCGTACTCTCCATATTTCTCTGTAGGGATGCCTTCTTGCTGGCCATGATAAATAGTGGTACGAGTTTCTTTGCTGGCTTTGTGGTGTTTTCTGTGCTGGGCTTCATGGCCGCAGAGCAAGGAGTGGACATCAGTAAAGTAGCTGAAAGTGGTAAGAATACCGTTTCCCTGTGATCTTGCTGCCTAATAACCCAATTCAATGAGCTGAGTATTGACAGTTCGAGCTATATGCCCTTGACACCTTATGCTTCTGACTCTCTCTGTTAACGTGCAGGTCCAGGCCTGGCGTTTATAGCCTACCCCAAGGCTGTGACTCTAATGCCTCTGGCGCCAGTTTGGGCAGCACTTTTCTTCTTTATGTTGCTAGTACTGGGCTTGGACAGCCAGGTAATAACGATTTCTGATTGTTCAAATACACTTTAGAAGGATTGGGATAACCTATAAACTGTAAGTGATTCTTTATTTTGCTGTCTTTTTAAATCCCTCGCACATTAGTACGAATAGATAGCTCATCTACATTTCTTTCACTTCCCCTCACTGACTCTTACAAGTGCAACACAAGCAGTCTAGACCCATCACGTCCAGTTTGAGCATTGCATTTCTTAGCAGCCTGTGTGTGTGCCTACATCCATTGTTTTACAGCCCAGGGATTTGTCAATGAGCTTCTGTATGATTCACACAGAGAGCGTCTGTCTACTCTCCCATCCATCCATCCATTTACTCCTAGTTTCCATTCTCTCTTTCCATTCCATCCATCGCTCTGCCTTTCCTGCCATAGCCACGTTAGCCATGCACATGCTGCTGTTTCAAGTAAATGATGTAAAACAATAGCCAAGTGGCCGTCTTACTCTAATTCTAAGGGTTTGAAAATATGTTTCAGCAAAGATACAAGTAAGCGATTTGTGCATAAGGGGACTGAGGAGGGGTGTCTGGGTTTTTCCAAAAGTATCACCTAAAGAACACACAAAGATTATGTTCACATCCCCCACTAACTTCCCTCTTTTATCTTTGTGTCTCTCTTTCTCTCACTCAAAATGTCCCTGTCTTGTTCTCTCTGCCCTCTATGTACTCTATTTCAGTTTGTAGGGGTAGAGGGTTTGATAACGGGAATTATGGACATGCTACCACCTAAATCTGCCATGGGTTCCCTGCGGCGAGAGGTGGTAGCGGCCATCTGCTGCGTCATCTGCTTCTTGATCGACATATCCATGGTCACTGAGGTACGGTTGGGATTTCCTTGACTTCTTGACCTTAGATATTTCATTCTTTAGCATTAGGCAGGTTGTCATTTTGAGTTTGTCATATTAATATACATATCAGATTATTATAACACAACATCCTTCTAGGCAAAATACAATCCAATGTAGAAACTAAATGAAAGTCCAGTCTCTTGCCTGATCTTGAGATTATTTTTGCTACTGTACCAAAAGATTATTTAAATGTTTCTGTAAAAAAAAACGAATGCTCGGCACAGGAGCCATTCCCAGGAATGAACATGGATGAAAGCCTAAACAGTGGAGACAAGGCTAGAAATAGGTCATAAAGTATTAACAAGATGCCTTGACTGCGCTCTTTGTTTCTGGCAGGGAGGGATGTATGTCTTCCAGCTGTTTGATTACTACTCTGCCAGTGGCATCACTCTGCTGTGGCAGGCCTTCTGGGAGTGTGTGGTGATTGCTTGGGTCTATGGTGAGATAGTGCCACACAATTACAATACAAGAACGCAAACCACTCAAACCAACAAACTATCACAACATCCTGATGTCATTTCTGTCAGGCGCGGACCGTTTCATGGATGACGTGGCTCGTATGATCGGCTATCAGCCCCTCCCCTACATGAAGTGGTGCTGGTCCTACATCACACCTTTAGTCTGTGTGGTAAGTGCTTCTCTGTTGGTTTTTATACACATTGTACCTTGTCTGTTGCAAACCACTGATATTTCTGCCTTTTTTGATTACAGTCAGTGTTCTTTTTCCATGTGGTGAACTACAAACCCCTTACCTACAACACAGTGTACACCTACCCCCTGTGGGGCGAAGTGCTTGGCTGGATATTGGCCCTTTCCTCAATGCTCTGTATCCCGGTCACCGTTCTCTACAAACTACTGCGCTGCAAAGGATCTTTTCGGGAGGTCAGTATGCCTGGGTGCAGGCGTGTACACTCTCACACATTCTCTTGTGCATGCGTTACTGTTTGTAATGAACAGAAATGTCTCCTTGGATACCGCCCATGCTCGCCTGTCTGTTATTTGCTCTGTTGATTTCACCATTGCTCATTAGAGAAGGCTGAAGCATCTGCCCCATAAACAGCTCACTGTCTGTATGCTCTTGTCTTACTCCATGTAGCGCTGGAAGCACCTAACTACACCCGTTTGGGGCCGACATCACATGGAGTACATGGCCCCAGAGAGCGGGGCCAAACTGTTGCCCCCTGCAGGAACAAAGAGCACGCTTCTCTTTGAAAGTGTCATCTGATGAGCTGAGCCCCGCTGAACACAGAGCCAAGCGTTGACGTCAGCACACACCATCTACACAAAATACATGCACCACACAGGCCTGGTAAGAGCTAAGTGCAGATTGGTTACACATCCTCCACAGTTTGAAACCTGAATGGAGAAGCCCTGGACAAATGGACCAAAGATTAGATGGGAGAAGAACCGAAACACACCCACACCCATACAGTCATCACCACTGAAACACACCCTGCTCTGCTTTCTGACTCTACCTCGCTGACTCTCCCCGCTCTTTCTGCTCCTGCCTCTGTGCTGTCCCGTCTCGTCTTGTTCTGTAAGTGTGATGTGTCCAGTGTAGCTGCGATATCTTCCCTGTCTGTCCCTGTCTGTCATCCGTCCCCGTGTCATGCCATTTTGTGATGAGCAGAGACCTAAAAATACTTTTAAAATATTCTAATCGAAAGATCTACTGCTGATGTGCCATGGTCTGTATGTGTGTGTGTCTGTGTGTGTTCAGGCGTGTGCATGTATCTCTAAGGGGTGTGTGTTGGACCGTGGCAGGGGTGTCTTGATTTACATTGGACATTGTCTTTGGCCAAAGTTTGCTGCAACAGCTTTCATTTGTAAAAAAGAAAAGAAAATTATAGTTATCAAAAAGAGACCATCACCACTTCCAGCTATGTGTTTTGAGCTAACTTAAGTATCCAGTGTATTGTAGGGTCTGTGAATCAGTGTTAACAATATTTCGAGGGGATGATTATCAGTATTTCCACCTTAAGAGAAGGAGAGAAATTGAAACCTGAATTGTGCAGAGAGCAGAAGAATGTGTTGTGGGGAGGGGAAAGAGCCTTGATGTGAGGAAGGGAGCAATAAATGACCAGATAAAGACGGATGTAATGTGTTTTTTCTGACTTTTTATTTACAGTCTCATTCATACTTTGTATAACTCTAGAAATGTACCAAAACTATTCTGGTTGAATCACATTTAATATGTTACACCGCCGGTATAAAAACTAGTCAAACATTTCACAGATAACTTGACGTGTCAGGTAGAACAAAGGTGAACCGTAAGCACTCTTAAGGAGAGTGTTCTGTAGTTTACAACACTCAACATTGTTTGCATTGGAGTGGTTCATCCAAGGAACCAATATTTAAGGATCCCTGACACACATTTACGTGTTTTCTGCTGGTTGATCATTGATTAGTCCCATCCCACATCCTACAAATTGAGACATAATAAACACAGGAGTAAATGTGATTATCAAATGTATTTCTTTTAAATTCCACCTTTTTGCAGACCTTTCAAACACAGAAACATGGCCTTGAGCAAATATATTTTGGTGGGCTATTCAAATAATTATTTCCAATTATTTATGTCAATAATTGACACTGGATCCCAAAAATAGAAAAGATGTAAGAGGATTCAGACTTGTGAATACTAACCATAAAAACACCCACATTGTGTTTAAAAGCTGCTACGCCTACTACTGAAATGCCTATTACACCTTAACTGCTATTCAGTTCATTCTTCAATGTTTTGAATTGTAATTAAAGGATTGATAAAGTGTTTCTGAGGCAATGGCCCGGCCATATCTCTTCTGAATATTCACATGTTATTTTCTGGAATATATTGTTGATTCAACAATATAAATTGATAGACAGACATATGCTCACACATCGTGGCCCGTTTTTCACAACAACACCTCTCACATATGAGTTTCCCCTTACAGTCAACCTTTCACTCACTCTCTCACACAGGCTATAAATACAGTCTCCTATTCGTCCACTGTTACATTCTCCACTCAACCCCCGCCCCTTCTCTGTCCCTCACACACGCCACGGAGCGGGAGAGCTGCAATGACGTATTGCCGGCTATCTCATTAGACGATATCATAAAAAGTCTGTTGCCACAGCAACGGCTCCCTGTATTGCCATGGCAACCAGCCGCCATGTCAAGGTGGTGCATTCTCCCCCACTGAAGGAGGAGGAGACAATGACGACCAATAGTGAGCAATGATACGTGCAGCAGCCTAAGAAGAGGAGGAGGATGGAGAGAGCTGGAGCGGTCTGACCCCTGATGGTTACATCTGAGTGCTGCACGACACATCCTGAAAAAAGATCAACATTTAGGGCTAGGGGTGAGAACATTTCAAAAGTATATCACAGCAATGACACGTGAAGTCATTTTGAAAGTGATGAACTCACAAGAACGAAGTCAGTGTCGCCCAGTTTCTTGAGAATGTGAAGCACTGCATCATGAACTGTGACAAACAGCCGGCTCTTTGGGATGGACTCTGAGAAGAAGCCTGCCGCCTCCAGCTGCTCCACGACACATGCTGATATTTGACCACACAGAGGCATGCATGACAATGAGGTCTGAACGCATTAGACGTAAAGTATTTGATCATAGAAATAAATATTTATGTCTGACTGATGTGTCGGAACAATGTGGCACCACTAAAGCCGAGACCTTGACACATTCATTGTATAAGCTCCATTGCCTTGACTCTAGGACATTAGGTTTGTCTTGTTGTGTCTAGTTTGCTCACCTTGGCAGCCTGCTAGATAGACGTCCAAATCAATCTCTCCAAAGTCCCTGAAAATCTGATTAAGAAAAGACAGGTATCACTTTATGTATTTTTGTGGGACATTCATTATTTTAACAATGCATATAAGAATGGCCTCCCCCTTCCCTCATGTGTTCACTTAGTTAAACATATGATGGTTAAATGAAATTAACACACACATTTTTCAAGGTCTTCACAGAGACGGTGTCCACAAAGCTGGTGGTTGAGATGTCCAAGATAATGCTGTGCGTGCCTGACCTGACAGCCCTTTCCTTTTCCTCATTTCCGCGCTGCGATACCTTGTTGATGCTGTTATCACCGTGGTAACCTGTTTCTGAATCTGAGTCGGACATGGTTGTGTCATGCTGGTAAGCCTCGTTTACCTGGCCTATACTAAGGCCATTTGTGGAGGTTTCTGTCAGGCCTAAGGCTACAACATCACCCTGACTTTGCTCCTTCAGTCCTGTAGAGACTCTCCTCTCATTCATCTCTGAGAAAGTGTCCTTGGAGACTCGGCGGACTGCTTCTCTCTGCCAAAAGGTAGAAACATTGGAAATAACATTTAGTGACTTATCAGTTTTATATAAAATATGTGATTTTTGAAACTAGACTGTCATTTAGGATATCATACTTGTTTCTTTGCCTCCTTTTTGGCCTTATTTTTCTCTTTATCTTGTTTACGCTTTAGTTTCCTTTCTTGCTTCTTCTTTGCCGTCAGCAGCTTCCCGATTTCTATTCCACTCTGCACAAAAAGCCAAGCTTTGCATTAAAGAGAGAAAAAGGGAAAGTGAGACAAGTGAGAGCGATAATGAAAGCAATTAAGGGAGCTGTAGGAAGCGGACAGGGATTTCAAATGCAAGCCTGCACCCAAACACACTTCCACATTCATGGACACACACCTTCTCTTGCAGGGCCTCCAAGTACATCTCAGCATTTGTGTAGTAGATGGTTGTAGATGAACGGAAGATTTTAATTCCTGGAATCTCTTTAGCCTGTAGGGACACAACATGAAGCAGAAGAGTTTTAAAGTGCTGTTCTGCTTTCCGTTCATCTTGTACCTCCTTCAGCTATTGTTTGGCTAAATAGAGTTCTACCACCATTTAATGGGCACATTTCAGGGGGAAAATAAGGTTTTACATTTATATTTAGTTGTATATTAAAATGCAGATAAAGACATTGATGGTAAGATTACCGGAGTACCCAAAAATCAAATCTGTAAAATGATTTTTTTGTGTTACTCATAGCATTGGCAAAATGACCTTTTAACAAGACGTAAATCTATGCTAGAAGCTTTGTAAGGCTGTATCTCAGCTAAATGCTCAAATCAGCATGCTAACACTCGTAAAGCAGGTGTAATGTTGACCTTGGGCACCACCTTCTCATAGTGTGTTTTTTTGTTATATTTGCTAATTAGCACTCAACCAAATAGTACAGCTAATCTTGATTAGTATGTCTTTAAGTTTAGTTCTTCCAATACTTTGGTCATCATTGGAAACAATGTATGTCCCAATTGTGTGCCAATCATTCTGGTGATTGTTGAGATATCTGTTAGGATAACTTAAATGTTTGGAATGACTGACGTTGGCATCTCTCAGGCAACTCCGCTAAAATGAAACAACAATGTAGAATAACTATTTTCTTAAGAAATATATGAACTGTTGACAGTGAACTCTGTAGATAATGAATCAGATATCTTATAATCTAAAATAATGTAAAGCTATCTATATGGGTAAATACCAAAAGATTGGTGAGAGTGTTTACATCCTATTTGGTTGACCTTTTACTTTTCTGTGGATGATTATTATACTGTGAAACTTGTATTTGTCACAAAACCATTACTACCTCCTTGTAGGTATCTGTGTCCAGATACAGGTCAGTGCCTGACACGTGGCCCAAGATAGAGTAACGGGGTCTGAAAGGTATTTAAAATGACATTGTTATTGCAGTTCTGTGAAATTGTCATCAAAATATGATATTGTGTTTACATATACATCTTTAATTAATAATAAGTAGCGTGTAGTTACAGTTGTGTCCTGAAGATGACAGTTAGCATGGAAAAGCCAATGGAGACAGCCAAACCCAGGTCCAGGTTGAGCAGGATGGTGCTTGTGAATGTGACCAGCCACACCATCTAAAGGTTAGCAGAAACACTGACAGTCAGCGGGGTCAAAGGGCTATTCGGTTAAAAAAAGGATAAACTGAGCAAAATGAGTCTTAGAGAGGATTTAGTCGTACCAGGTCAACCTTGTTGGTCTTCCACAGCAGAGACACATCCAGGAATTGCTTAAACATGCCTTTCAAATTCACAAACACTATTGTGGATAAGACAGCCTAAGGAACAAAAACACATACAGTTATATCGGTATGAACCCACAGCCTTATAGGGCATTACAAAATATCTGCAAAGAGAGATTCTGATCAAGAGGGTTACCTTGGGGAGATCTGAAAAAAGAGAACCTATTTTCAAAACCGTGATGAGCACGATGACAGACGAAATCAATCCTGCAACCTGACAAAACACACACAAAAGTATTTAACATAAAAAAGCCCCAAGTAGGACATAATAATTAAATATAATCAGTGGTATTTGGGCCTTTTTCCCCCATATGTGTGTTTACTTGTGTCTTGCCCCCTGTGCTCTCCTGCACGAGGCTGCGAGACAAGGAGGAAGTCACAGAGTAACACTGAAAGAATCCGCCGACAGTGTTACTGAGACCCAAAGCAACCAGCTCCTGAATAAAAGAGGAAGAGCAAAAAACACCACATTTAGTTTGAGAAACTGTAACAATTGTAACACTATTCATATCCTAGACATTAGTATACTGGTTTATAATAGGCTGTAACCTGGGGTCAACAACAACGTTTAGTTTGTATTAACTTTGTGGCCGTGTCAACACATTTCTGCCAGGCTGAGAGCATTGCCAAGCTTATTTAAGACACACTTGATTGCATAAAGCTTGTTGAACATTAATTATTTAGGAGGCCAGCTCTTAGAGGCTGTGAGTGCTCCCAGACTGCCTCGCTCCAAAACAGAATGATCGCAGTCACATGCCTCCGCAAGTGTGAATAAGTCTGTGTGCTATAGACAAGAATAAGCTATTTTTCAATACTGACTGTAGAGAAAGCACAGGTTGTTAAAGGTTCTTCCTTTGTATGACTATTTCCTGGAGTAGACCTGATGTTCTAGCTAACGGAAGACCATGCAGTTCAATCTCAGGTCATGGTTTGGCATAAATAATAAATAATCAGAAGAGAAAGCCAAAGATAGCATCTTCATTATACATACAGTACTCTTCTACAGTACCCGTGATCACATTTATACACACTCTGTATCTACATTTTTCCAGATGTGAGTACACACAAGCAACACTTTATAGATAAACTGCAAAATGAACTTAGTGAAACTGCAACTATGTGTTATGCATGTATGTGTTCGGCTTTGGAGGGCTTTGTAACATGACGTTATGCCATGTGAGATGTTTGAGGCATTTAGAAATGGACTTATATTACTGGCTTAAATGGCCAACTCCTTTAGCCAACTTCTTAAAAGGTTTAGGCGATCAAATTTCAGTGCGTCATTACTATTAGGATATAATTAAGAAATTGATGTTGCCTAATATGAGTTGTAGATGGAGACTATGGGGAAACAAAAGAAACCTCTTTTCTAAAATTGCACATAAATGCAATATGTAATCATTTCTTGAATGTAAAATCCAATTTGTAGAAAGTGCTTTTGAAAAACAAAGGCACACTTACATTCAAATTAATAATCTGCTCTTTACAGCTTTGAATCAATTGTGTTGTGCTCAGCATTAATATGACATACAGGCAGTTCTGTTGTCGCTCCTGTCACACTTTTATTGTTGCAATCGGAATCTTTGATAAAAACATTTATGTATTGACGTAGCTAATAAAATATCCACATTATATATATTAAATTAACCAAGCATCAGAAAAAATCTGTACAGTTTGTAATTGCTCTGTTGTTGGGGTGGGGCTTGATCCAGGACATTTGTCCATCAATGTGCCAGTGAGTCATGACCAACTGTGAGCGAGCAGAAGTCTAATATTAGGCCAATGTTAGACTATTCACTGTTAGCGCTGAGTCAGAGAGGAACAATTCAAACTCTCACAGATGTTTAATAGTACCACAGTGTGTGTGTGTGTGTGTTTGTGTGTGTGTGTTTGTGTGTGTATATGTATTCCTTACCTGGTTGCTGTCCACCTTGTAGCCATGTTTGAGGGCAAATGTTTTGCCCAGAGAAATGTTGATGGCGTAGCCCACAATTGCTATTGCAAAAGCATCACCTATCACATCTGTGAATAATGTGGCATCTGGGGCACGAGGGGCCTTAAGCCTGGGGCAGGAGGCAAAGATGAGTGGTTTAGGTTTTTATCCCTTTTGTCTCGTTTGCACACAGAATCCAGATAAACGAGTAGCTCTACAAACGGAAATGTCCCCTCTGTGGGACGGATGTAAGTATTCTGAAACAACTCAGGACATTTTCGCAGAGGTGGTTAAATCTCTTGACATTAAGCATCATTATGTAATTACTGAACCATAAAATAACAGCTTCAAAACATTGTACATTAACTTGTACAAGGGAGAATGGCGTCTCTGTTATTGCCACACTGCTTCCTGAACGGCTGTATACTAAGTAACTTTGGTGGGTCATACAATCTCCCAGGAGAAGAGCACACACTTTACAGTGTTTTGGAGAAAATTGATCACATTTTATTGAATACCATGATTATGAAAAGCTACTGGCTCACTCACTTAAAAACTCACTCATACTAAGACACTGACGCCCTGTTTCTATGCAGGCTGTGTCACTGTTAACAGCTTGATATTATCTTCACAGCATGTGGTAATGTTGTGGTTGTGATCTTGTGAATAACCTTGAATAGCTGTCCTGAATCTGACCTCTCTAAACACACAAAGTTAAACTTACCCACTTGGAATCTCTCCAACAACATCAATGTTATATTTACTTGTAAGGTCGGCAAAGTGGATAATGATTGTTGCTGCTATGATCTGTTAAAAACAGGAACAAGCAATTATTGTCGTATGTAGGGTAAATCATTATTTTCAGCACATGCAAGCCTTATTTTTTAAACAAGGACATCATTGCCTCCATTGTGATTAAGATGCCCCCTGCTGGACCATTACATTAATACAACTAAGTAAAAAAAGAAAAGAGAGAAAACCTCTAAGCATCTCTGCTTAGATGTTTCCTCTATTCTTCTCTCTTTTACTTACTGCTATGATTTCTATTGGGATGGGCATAGGCAACTTCTGTCTGTAGCAGTCATTGATTTCTTTGACAACAATGAGAACAGAAAGCGCAACCAAGCTGACCACCAGCTCTGGCACTTTGGTCTCAGGCAGCAGCCGGCATATATCCACCAGAGTCTGTAAGAAAAGAGTTGGAGAGAGAAGGGGAAAAAAGGGAGGAAGTTGAAATCTCATGTCACCTTGTGAAAAAGGACGGTCAAAAATAGAAATGTTTAACAATACAATACCACTTTTTATGATAAGAGACTGTCAAAAGTGTTTGTCTTTTTAACTCAAGCCCCTGATATTATATTTGTTGGTACTTTAATTTGTAGTATTGTGAGCTGCTAATGCTGCTTCTCCCCACCAGAAAAATAACCCATTTACACCTCAAGCAGGGAAAATAAAAAAAAGATGATATCAGTAGACAGTAGACAGAAAATGTTCCTCTTTTTTTGGTTTTGTTTCACTGATTAAACAAAACAGGATATAATGTGTTAATAAGTCAACTTTAGAGGTGTTAGAGAAGGAATTTGTAACCTTTGGACAGGGCAAGGCTAGCTGTTTCTAAGCTAACCTTTCCGTTAATTATTTGATTTGTTGACAGACAAACTATTAGTAACCTGCCTTTCAAGTATGTAACGGTAGCATACCCACCAGGCATTGTTGAATCTCTAGAAAGGTATTATATTTAACGATTATAGATTGTTGTGGTTTCTTCACAATTCATTAGCACCTACAGTATACACCTACACTATAAACATCTCGCATCTATAATGAAGTCTTTAGTCAGTGATTTAGTTGGTTAGTCAGTTAGTTAGTTAGTTAGTTAGTTAGTTAGTGAGTGAGTGAGTTAGTGAGTTAGTGAGTTAGTGAGTTAGTGAGTTAGTGAGTGAGTGAGTTAGTGAGTGAGTGAGTGAGTGAGTGAGTGAGTGAGTTAGTTAGTGAGTTAGTGAGTTAGTGAGTTAGTTAGTTAGTTAGTGAGTTAGTGAGTTAGTGAGTTCCCCTATGACACGTATCATTCTTTTTTAGTTTGCTTGTTTGTGTTCCGTTGTAACTCCTGTCATGTCAGACTCCCATTTTGCTGGCCTTGTGTCAGTAGATCCTATACTGTATACTGGTTAGTGGCGGTTCTAGAACATTTTACATGGGGGGGCAAAGGGGAGGCAAGAGGTCATGCCAGGGTGACATAGGAGGACGGACAGTACGTGGTATTGTATACTGTATATAACCTATTTATTGTTAATTCATGCCCTAACACAAGTGTTCTTAATGCACAAGAGAAACAAGGTGTTCAGACAAACAATCGGGTGCCCTTTGAGTCCCCCAAGCTTACCTCAACCATTTTAAATGAAAGGAAACTACAAAATGTATTTTAAAGCAATGTAAAATTAAATATATATTTTGTTTAAAAATGTTTTTGTTGTCTTAGAGTAGACAGACATATTTGCATGTCCTCACTAAGCATTATTACATATTAATTTAATATTAAACAAATCAAAATGGCCAATTATCCCAAAATGTTGCTGCTAATATAATCATATGATTGTCAACTTTAACTGATCAAAAATCAATTCTGAAAAAATACTTGAATTATCTATGAAATTGCAATATTGTCCCTCAGTTTGTTTCAACCCCGTCACGCCATACCATTTACCCTCCTATTAAAATAATGGATCAGTCCACGTGTGATCTGCATTGAGGGAATTACATCACAAAAGTGTCAGTTTCTTCTCTTACCCTATATTTCAGTTTTTGTATTTTCAGATTAAGATTGACAAGCTCAACATTTCAACTCTGTTATATGAATGAATAATAGTAAATAATTGTTTATTACAAAAATAAACAATAGTTTTGCAAAATATTACAATTTTGTAATGTCCTTGACTTCCATGTGGTGCCATATCTTAGCTAAACAAGGTCTCATGCCTACTTTTTGTCAAAAACTTCAACCCTGTTACATTTTTTCAAGGAAATTCCTAGTAATTATTTATATTTTGTGCCTGGGGTGGGAAAATGTAAGTAGTCCACTACCAGATGTTATGACCAAACATTTTGGTTTCATTTTTCAAAGATATAAAGACCCAAAAGGCACCCGATTCAGAGAATACTCAGAATTCTGCATACTGTAAGTACTTAATTATAATTAAGTACACAAATGACATCACCCATCTCTTCAGAGAGCTACAGGTGACCTGTGCAGCAACACATTTCAATACATATTTGTCAATACTAAGAGCTGCTAGATTGAGCTGCTGTAATGGAATATGTAAGGAGAATAAGAACATACCATGTGGTCCAGCTGGAGTTTCATCTGCCTCCTGATCCCTGCCTCTGGCCCTCTTTCTGATACTTCATCTTTATTCCTCACATACATTTCTTCTTCTTCACTAATGTCTTCATCTCCTCCTCTTCCTCCTGCTCTGACCCTCCTGGTCTCTTCATCTCCTCCTCTTCCTCCTGCTCTGACCCTCCTGGTCTCTTCATCTCTCTTTTCCTTTTCCTCTTTCTGTTCGTCCTGATCACTTCTCATATGTCTTTTTGTTGTTGTTGAATCACTCCAGCTACTCTGGCCTGCAAGAGTCTACTTGTGAAAAGCACTGGTACAAATGCTTGTATAACTTTACACGTTAGGGCCATGTAGCTAATAAGTAGCATATCATCAGAAAGTATTTATCAAACGCACACAGGCAGCTGTGTTTAGATCCAGTTTTTACGGTAAAGGATGTATCCTGGTTTCATTGATCTTGCCTCATGGCTGTGATGTGTAGTTTACGTGGATTTAATAGGAGGCTACCGCGTAGTTTAGCAAAGTGATCGATCTCCCAGCTAACGCTGTCTGCGTAGTATTTTGAAACGTAACGCCCCAAACAGCGCCCGTCTGTTAAACGCTATCGATTCAAACGGCAGCGTTTTATTAATATTTAGTTTCAAGCTCTCGTCCTTAGTAAAAACAAAACTAGTGGAAAGGGAAATGCTCCCAGGGGAAGCTGATCCACCCTCAGGTGCTGGGACAGCTCGCTCCCTCTCTGCATCGGTGTGAGCCCCGGTCTGTGTGAACGCCGCTCCGCAGTTTAATGCAGGGCCGTAGCTGCGTTTTTAACGGGCCTAAAATGATATTTAAAATGATTCACTTTTAACTAATGTAATGCTTGTTTTGTTGCTTGAGAAGCTTGCGGAAATAGTGTAGGTTTGTTTTAGTACAGTTTTAGGGAAACAAAAATTAGGGGGGCAGCTGGGGGGGCAAGGCTCTACAGTGGGGGGGGAAGCTGCCCCCCCCCCTCCCCCCCCCCCCCGTAGATCCGCCCCTGATACTGGTCCACTTCCACTTGTTTGCTGCAAGATTGTCTTTTGCCATGTGCCTAAGCTTTCTAGCGTTTTTGTATCTTAGCCTGCCAGTACCTGTGTTCGACCCGTGTTATGACCTTTTCCCCCGGACTCTGATTTTGCCTAGCGATACCTTGCCTTTTAAGTAATTCAAGACTTCAGCTTTTGTTTGAATCATGCTTTTGGGTTTTTATCCTTGAGTTGTGCCAAACTTGTATTTACTGCTGAGGGTTAATAACATGATCTGAACCTTGCCTACCCTCTGTTAGTCTATCAGTCAATCTCTTGTCAGTATCCGTATCCTGATTGTTAATGTCTTACATACTCACATAAATAAGGGAGAGTGGACCAGTGAAGCGAGCTGGCTTGACTCCAAAAAGGTACTTGAGCTGGGACACACAGACATGGCATGCTGACCCAGTGGTGTAGCCTCGAATCAGTGGTTCAGACAGGTAGGTGACAACGAAACCAAACCTCACCACACCTAACAGGATCTAAGTATGGAGAGAAAGAGAGAAATTATCAAAATGTGTAAAAATATTACATAAAAGGGTTGCTCAGTACTGTGATACAGTCATAAACAGTTTTATATTTGGTCAGAATTGAAACACAATCACACCTGAAAGATTCCCGTCAAGACCGTGAGGGAACATGCTATTTCTACTCTGTGTGCATCTCGCGCATCAAGGTCTGTCCCGTTAGTGCCGTTTGCAGGAAAGTCAATGTCTGGTGCCAGCCTCTCCGTCACACTCCCAATCATGATGCTGATCACAGCAAATGTTCCTGAACATACAAAACGTCAGCATTTTTGTTAAAGTTCTTTCAGTATTTTTTTATTTCTGCCACTTTCACACATGTTTTCTTAGTCACCTATGGAGATGTGTCTGGAAGTGCCAAAGATGAAGTAGACCAGAACCGGGTAAAGGGAGGTGTAAAGGCCAAACACTGGGCGTAAGGAGGCCAGAAGGGCATATGCCATGCCTGATTCAAAGAAAAAAAGCAATGATGTTACATATTTGGCCGTCAAAACACTCAGAAAAGTAAGACATGTTGGGTAATGGGCTAACTTTATTTCTCTCTGAGAGTAAGGAAAGATCCATACAGTACCACTATCATAGCTGTTTATTGTAGAAAGCCTCAACCTGGAGACGGTTAGCTTAGCAAAGAGAGTGGAAGCAGGTTAAAAAGCTACCCTGGGTTTCTGAAAAGGTAAAAAATAAGCTACTAGTACCTTTAAAGTTTACTGAATAATATCTTGTTTGATTATCCATGCAAAGATTTTTGTATTAAAGGGGAACAAATAAACACTTGTTGATATTTACTGGCTAGGAGCAGTGAGTTCCTGGGATATGGGGAAACAATAATTGGTCATTTTTACATTCAATTTGATTTCTAGAACAAAAAAAAGCTTTGGAGGGCAGACTTTGTTACATTTGTAAAGCACCATGCTGGCATTTTGTTTGCAGTCTTAATGCTAAGCTAAACTCAAACTCTCCTGGATTGAGCTTCAAATGTACACCTGTGGGTTATTTTCCAAAATGACAAACTATTTATTTAAAGTGACAAGTTTGCTTTTGAATGTGGATAAGCCCCCTTCAGTGTTCACATTCACACATACAAACCCTGCGGCAGATGCATGATGCCCACACTGCAGCCAGAGATCAGGTCCCCGATGAAGTTTTCTCTGATGGAGTAGTGAGGCAGCCAGCTGAGCACGGGGATCCAGCTCAGCAAGGTGTGCTTCAGTCTGGGCACCGAACATCTGCAACAGTCATACATTTATTCATATTAAAATGTGACTGTTTTTACACTAGGGTTTCTGCCTAAAAAGTCACATAATAATGTATATTGTAGTCCTTGGTTTTGTTCTTCATTCACATTTCAGTGTGAGCACATTTTAATTAGTTTCCCTGAAGAGCTTGTTTAGAAAAAAAAACAGATGTGCTAACAAATTCAAATATTTTGTGTCTTGAGAATTGGAACACCTGCTACATGTTTATCTTTATCTGCTGGCCTTGTAAAAAACGGACACATTGGATTGTTATCCAATGTGTCCGTTTTTTACAAGGCCAGCAGATAGGCAACTTCGAACATCAAACCTGAGGTTTGTCCTTGTCTGCAAAAATGTAACTACATTTTAATAATCATTATCATAATTGAATAGTATATATGTAATCTTAGAAGAACGTGCCCTGTTTATATGATTGCTTGATATTTGCTTTAAGAGTATGTTGTGTCACAGGTTATCGTTCAACAATAAAAAAAAAACAGCTCAATAAAACTGTGAACTTTGCTCATCCAATTACATATAACGGTTGTTCAGCGTTTTCTTTTTTCACCAGCATTGTACTTTGAGATAGCAAAACAGTTACATGCACAAACTCATTCATAACAGATTCACTCATTCATGAGTGTCACGTTTAAAAGGTTGAGTGAGCAGTGAGAGGTACAGGTAAGCCTTACAGAGACATTTATAAGCATGCAAATAAACATCAAGTTAATCCAGTTTTTGCACACCTCCATCCCCTGCAGCTTCTCTTTCTTTACCTCAGAGACTCTTTCAGCCGTTCTCCCAGGGTTGGTTTGGTGGACCAAGTCCCTTTTTGTGCCACTTCATCCAGACGTAACTCATCCAGAACCCTCCTCTTCACAAAATACTCCCCAACGGAGCAGTCCTTCTTCTCCGTGTCCATGTCTAGACCAAATTCACCAGACCCCCTAAAGCCGGTGTCCTCCTCTACTGCCTGAGGATGTTTGTTGTTACAACACCACACATTGTATAGCAAGAGTCAAGCCTCCTCACCTCCTATACTGATTGACAGTGCTTGTTTTTGGATTGTGGGAGTGACTGTTCCTTTCCTTGCAGGAGAAGAACCACCAGCCCACCCACACACACACACACACACACACACACACACACACACACACACACACACACACACACACACACACACACACACACCACACACACACACACACACACACACACACACACACACACACACACACACACACACACACACACACACACACACACACACACACACACACACACACACACACACACACACACACACACACACACACACACACACACACACACACACAATAGTGAATGTCACCCTTTAGTTATTAACTTGGTGAACAACACTTCAAACTGTAAGATAGAAAAAAAAAGACCTCTTGTATTATCTTTGCACGAGGTCAATGACAATAAACAGCAATAGCTGATGGTGCATACAGACATAACTGTATGTAACATTCATTAATGCATGTGAAAAATCCCACTGTGACTATTATTTTTTCATAATATGAAAAAGAATAAAGTTTGTATGGTTTTAATTGTATAAAACATCTCACCCGCAGACAGCTTGTGAGCCATTGAGCTACTGGCATTGTCCAATATGCTTTATGTGATTTGTCAAAAACGAAACAACCCTTTTTCTAACATAAACCCAAAATAAAAAAGCACTCAAAATTAGCTAGAAATGTTCTACATTTAACCTATAATGTAATGTTATGTAATGGGGTCCATTTCTCTTTCACATAATACGCGTCAGATCACATCAAATTACTAGTACAAACTAAAACTTTATGGATGATGTACAATACGCAATATGTCTCTATATATACACTGTACATTCTATATCCATACAAAATATTTTACATCCATCATTTTAAATATTTATATATAATAATATTTATATTTGTTATAGAAGTGGTGTCCAATTAATCTGTGTATGTCTGTCTAAGATATCTGACCTGTTGTTGCCGCTATATCTGACCTGTTGTTGCCGCTAACAAAGCTTGTGAGCCAGTATATTAACGTTTGTACCAAGACATATCATAAAAATACTAAACGTTCACTCCAGAAAATATATTTTTCTGAAAGCATGTAGTCCTTTTTGTCTGAAACACAGTCACCAGGCAGTGGTGTTGGCAGGGTTTTTAAGCTGGAAAATAAAAAATATCCATTTTACTCTTTTTCAATGTTATGTTATGTTTCAATGTTTCTTTTTCAATGTTTGTTACCTAGGTGTAAAGTGAACAATTCATTTATAAAATAAGGTTTTGCAATAAAGAAATATTGGAAATAGTTGAATTAAAACGATGTAATACGCATGCTCAAACAAGCTACTTCATTACATTACATTACATTGCATTTAGCTGACGCTTTTATCCAAAGCGACTTACAATAAGTACATTCGACCAGGAAGACACAACCTTGAAGAAAACAGAATCATATAAGTACATCAGGTTTCATAGAGCCAAACATTTCAAGTGCTACTCAACTGGCTTTAGGTAAGCCAGCCCTTTATTAGTATAAAAGTGCTTCGTTAATAGTTCTAACGCTCGAAGTAGAGTCGAAAGAGATGAGTTTTCAGTTTGCGCCGGAAGATGTGCAAGCTATCTGCCGTCCTGATGTCAATGGGGAGCTCATTCCACCATCTTGGAGCCAGGACAGCAAACCCACGTGTTTCAACATGGTAACAGCAAGCCAGGACACATGCAGACACATCTTACTAATATAAGTAATGTTTTACATTAACATACTTTTAGGTAATAATTTTCCAACCTCTACTGTTTTTTGTGTTTTCCAACAATCACATGGCTAAACAAGCATTTTACGTTGAGGAACAAATGGCTCATAGGAAAAGATTTCCGTTTTGTGCCTGAAATAACTAACAGTCATGGATGTGTGTTAGATGAAATTGTAAAAGCTCTTGCACATATTAACCCTGGACCCTCACACCCATGTAAATGTGTGCTGTTAAAGCTTGAGGCTAACTTAATGACGAGGCACAGCTGAAAAGATAACTGGAATAATCCTTGAGAAAATTCCACAACCACACTCAGCTCATTCACAGATTACACATTATAAGATCCTATGTTAAAAATATGTAATTAAAGACACAGCTTGTTTTAGTCAAATCAAAGGTGTTTGATAATGATGCCAATGATAATTGTTTCAGTTAATTTGGTCATGATTTGTGCTCTTAAAATTATTTCTATGTGTTTCGACACCTCTGCTTGCTTGCTAACTGAGGTTTTCCTTATGGTTATCCTGAATTCTCTTAACAGTATGTTGAAGTGATAAGTGAGGTGTGTTTTGTCCCAAGTGTAGCTTGCTGTTTTGTTGGTGTTAAGGTGTAAATACTTCATAAAATACCATCACACACGGTTTATTATTTTGCTGCTGAAAACAGTTCCTAAGAAATTTGCTTACATTTTTGTTGTTGTTAGTTTTTGTATTTGTGGCCTCATATTCTGCATTGTTTTGCTATTAATGTATTGATTTACGACTCAAATCAAACTAACCTAAACTTAGCACAGTGAGGTAAGAAGAGATAAAGACAGAGAGACTAAAAGGAACAGAGAGGGGCACAGTGTAAACCTGAGTGTTATTTGCAAATGCCTCCCCATTGGTGCTCTCAGAGGACAGGAGAGTCTAAATCTCACTACAGTTTAATTATTATTTGAGAACACCTCCTGAAGCTGACAACAATAAAAGGCAGCAGGAAAATAAATCTAAAAATGTAAGTGCTGCACAGAATAAGTAAGTAATAAATAAATGAAGTGGCTGTTATCTTGTTTGCTGCGCAATAAACTATTTGAGAGGGATTGTGTTGCCCACATCATGTATTAACTCTTATCAATTGGTAAATAGCCAGATAAATCATTTAACTGCCGGGATTACTAGGTAAAGTGATTGTTAACTTGTTAGAGTGACTTGTTTATGTTTCCTCAAAGCCAGTAAGAAAAGGTAAATTCCTTCCCGACCTAGTTTCTAAATAAGGTTTTTAATGTAAGAACAATCTTTGTTCATAACAAGTTACACAGTGATATGCACTTGGCCAAAGGTCCTGATGATGAGCTGAGAACAGAGCTTGCAGCATTACAGAAAATGTCCCTGACACGTGTAAGAAAGCACGTTTCCCATGTAGAGACAAGCTCATGCACATCCTGTGTCACTCATTAATCTGCACTGCCTATACAGTAGACTGCAGGGCCACATTATTTTGCTCATATTGCTGGTAATGAAGTATGCTCAACTCTGCTTGGAAATATTGTTAGAAAACAATTAGCCTGACAAACACTGTTGTGAAATGTAACCAGTCGTATAACATGGCCAGTAAACAGACACATCTACTGTCACCTGTTAGACCAGGGGTGCCCAATCTTTTTTGAACCGAGAGCTACTTTTAAAGTTGCCAGTCTGCCGAGATCTACCATGCCAAATAGAGAGGCGTAGCCATTACTGACAGCCTACTACCAGGTAAATACACACTTCTACTTGTATAAAACTGACCTTCATACGATTAATACTGTCACGGTGTGTGAAGCAGGTAGGACCCAAATGCAGATTAAAGTGAGAATCACTAGACCACCAGGGTGGGTGGAGGGGGTCAGGAGGACGGGACTGAGCTGACCGCCCAGAGGTACAGCAGAGGACCAGGAAGGGATCTCGGGCGGACGGCCCGGGGGCAAGGCAGAGTTCAAAAAGGGGGATTCGGGCGGACGGCCCGGGGGCAAGGAAGAGTCTAAGGTGGGGGACTCGGGCGGCCGAGCATGAGGTCGAAGGCAGCGGCAGGAAGAGTCAGGGGGCCGAGCATGAGGGCGAGAACCGCGGCCGGAAGAGTCAGGGGGCCGGGCCCGAGGGCGAGGACCGCGGCAGGAAGAGTCAGGGGCCGTGCTCGAGGGCGAAGACCGCGGCTCTCAGGGGGCCGGGCTCGAGGGCGAAGACCAGACAGCTCCGGATTCCGGGCAGGAAGGCGCTGACGGGACAGTGCCGGAGGCCGGGCAGAACCCGGTGTCGGAGCTGGTGGGACAGGCCTCGGCAGGAACCCCCACGGAAGAGGACCAGGACACAGGATTTGCAGGACCCCCGGCAGGAGAGCAGTCGGCGGGGCCTCCAACGGCACAGGACATAGGATTGGCAGGACCCCCGGCAGGAGAGTAGACGGCGGGACCTCCAACGAGACAGGACAAAGAGTTGTCAGGACCCCCGGCAGGAGAGTAGTCGGCGGGGCCTCCAACGGCACAGGACATAGGATTGGCAGGACCCCCGGCAGGAGAGTAGACGGCGGGACCTCCAACGGCACAGGACAAAGGGTTGGCAGGACCCCCGGCAGGAGAGTAGACAGCGGGACCTCCAACGAGACAGGACAAAGGGTTGGCAGGACCCCCGGCAGGAGAGTAGTCGGCGGGGTCTCCAACGGCACAGGACATAGGATTGGCAGGACCCCCGGCAGGAGAGTAGACGGCGGGACCTCCAAGGGGACAGGACAAAGGGTTGGCAGGACCCCCGGCAGGAGAGTAGTCGGCGGAGCCTCCAACGGCAAAGGACAAAGGGTTGGCAGGACCCCTGGCAGGAGAGTAGTCGGCGGGACCTCCAACGAGACAGGACAAGGAGCTGGCAGGACCCCCGGCAGGAGAGTAGACGGCGGGACCTCCAAGGGGACAGGATAAAGGGTTGGCAGGACCCCCGGCAGGAGAGTAGTCGGCGGGGCCTCCAACGGCACAGGACAAAGGGTTGGCAGGACCCCCAGCAGGAGAGTAGACAGCGGGACCTCCAACGAGACAGGACAAAGTGTTGGTAGGACCCCCGGCAGGAGAGTAGACGGCGGGCCCTCCAACGGGACAGGACAAAGGGTTGGCAGGACCCCCGGCAGGAGAGTAGTCGGCGGGACCTCCAAGGGGACAGGACAAAGGGTTGGCAGGACCCCCGGCAGGAGAGTAGTCGGCGGGGCCTCCAACGGC